TTTTTTTTTACCCCGCCTCGATTTTATGAAATTACTGTTTTTCCTCGCTTTGATTCTGATCGGGATCAGAATCCAACATACCAATTAACTTTTGTTTAAATCCTGTGACTTTGACAGCTGACAAGCTGTAATGTGTATTAAACAAGGATCGATTGGTGAGGATGTGTAGAAAGAGATATGTACATTTAAACTGACCTATATACTATGACAGTTATTGGGCATAGTAGATAAATCTGCAATGATTGATGAGGTCAACAAAATATCTGTAGAATGAAGGAAATATAAAATATAAAATAAAAATCTGCCCACCCACCTCGATTTAAAAAAAAAGAAGAAAATCTAGGATTTTTTTTTTATTATGGCCTTAAGAGAACGTATAAACAGAGAAATTTCTCCCATATATTCCCTTCCTTCCTCTGTCTTCAGAAGCCACAGCCTTTTATCTTCAATTTAATTTTTTTTAAAACATATTCTCAGCATTTATCTTTCTCACAGTTTTATTAAAGGATACGGCAGGACCATGGAATTATTGTCAAAGGCTGTATTAACTATAATGCTTGTCACTGGATCTTGTCAGAAGTGGTTAAATGTCTGCACTGAAATTCTCAGAAGCAGAACTGGATAAGAGTTTCATCACACCAAGATCACAATCTTTTTTTTAATATGCAGTATTTTTCATAAAATTAATACATTTAAAAGATTTTATTACAAAGGATCGTTAAACTCAAGTATCAAACGGACCCAATTAAGACCTTAAAATGTAACACAGAATTATTTTGTTTATAAGGGAAATGTAATACGGTAACACCCACCATATTATTTCCTTGGTCTACTTATCAGGAATTAAGCCATTGATATGGATATCGATATGCTAGGTGTGGAAGCATTTACATGTATTTTCTTTTCTTCCATGAACTGCAGATAAGGCAGTGGGATCATTGAATACTCAATCAAGAAAAGACACTTGATATATGTATACATACAGTCAAACCTTGTTATTTCAAGCTCAATGGGACCGAGAAAAAAGTTCAAGATATCTGAGGATTCAAGATATCGAGGGTAAGATACTTAAAGAATGAGTGTTTGGGACTTTCACATCACTCCGACAAATCCATGATATTCGAGATATCAGTGTTCATGATACCGAAATTCAATATATTTAATTATCTTTAAAATCCCCCTCCCATCAACCTCACCTGGAATATTACATTAAGCTATTCCAAGACCTTGTCAGAAGTGGTACTTGTCTGCATTTATTTTCCTCAGAAGCAGAACTGGTAAAAAGTTTTCATCAGACCAAGGTCTATAGAATTATAAAACTGCACACACAACTATAGAATTATAATACTGCATACAAAATAATGACAGCATTATCAGACCAAGGTCTACAGAATTATAAAACTGCACACACAACACTGACAGCATTATGCACTTCACTAGATAGTGTGTGAGAAACTAAAACTACACTTGTAGTTTGATTTAATTATGTGTATTTCTTTTTATGTACAATATAGTTTGTGACAAATCTAGGTCTCTAAAACATCATTACTACTGTCTATTGAAAAACCACAGTCACATCTTAAAGTACAACCGTGTAATATTAAAATCAGAGAAATGCCGTTTTATAATGCCATGTGAAGCAGAATCATCTTAATCCTTCTATTTAAATCTCTAAGGTTTCACTTGAGACAGTAAGCTTACTGAAATTCCTTGTCTGGAACTTTATATTTAGCCGAGTCTTGTTTAAAGCTTCACTAATAAATCCTACCATCACTTAAAGTTATTAAATAGTTCTCTATTCTCTTCGTAGAAGAAAGAAATACAAAAATTTCCTCTGTTTCATCAGCTGACTGCAGTTCACTACATGTATTTTTTAGGGCTGTGTCAATATATCGAATATTCAATACGTATCGATATTCAGGAATGTATCGTATCGAAAAAATAAATTCCAATACGTATCGGACATGCAGTTTTCCTTATAATTCTTTAAAGAAGTTGGGAATTTCAGTAACCAAAGATTATTTTTAACTGTTTTGAATTAAAACTGTTCAATAATGAAATAAACATTAAGGAGATAGCACATCTTAAATTACTATTACAAAATACATAGACAACTATATTTTAACATGTTATGTAAGACTCACCCAGTTTTTATCAAATTTATGCATTAAATGTCATTTACAAGACATTTTTGAAAGACTTAATAAATAATCCAATATATCGCATATTGCTTTATAAAATATCGTATCGTATCGAAATATTTTGCTCAATACACAGCCCTAGTATTTTTAGATCATGTTCATGTTCTTAAACTTAAAGGAGACCTTGTCAGAAATGGTTAACTGTCTGCATTTGTACCTCAGAAGCAGAACTGGTTAAAGTTTTCATCATGTCAAGTAATCTCCTACCCCCTCCATAAACTGTCAACTTTATGTTGACATGGATATCACACAAACTGCTTCATTCCTTGTAGCCTCTATACATACATTCCTATGCAGTTAATATTAAGCACTAGTCATTACCCCCATACAGATACTCACCATAAATTGTTCAACAGTTAAAGGAAACGTAGCAGAATACAGGAGAATCTGTCGATCTGGAGGCAGATGTGCGATGATGTGATCCAGCATTCCTTTGAAATCTTGAGACAGCAGTTTATCAGCCTAAAATATAAACCATACTTTGTATTGAGTGTGTACTGTGAAGTATGTTGACATGACCTAAAACTTACATTACACTTGCCTTGTACAGGGATTTGAGAATCTTTAAAATTTATCATTTACAAAGACAACCTATAACTTTTCTTAAAGGAACAGCAAATAAAAATCACTGTATGATGAAAGGCTGCAAAAAAATAACACTATATCATCAAACTCTAAACAGAAAAGCTGTATAATAAAATAACACTACATCCTCAAACTCTAAACAGAAAAGTTATTTGTTGTTTATACCTCATCAAGGACCAGCATGCCACATTTACTGATTTTGACTAGATTTTTATTCATTAGGTCCAGGATTCTGCCAGGGGTTGCAATGATTACATGTACTGAAATAAATTATTGTCCATTAAAAATAAAATCAGAACCTGGTCAAAACTCCAATACGGAATCTGAACAATTCACTACAAGACTGAAGTATAGAGTTGACAATTGTTTTTATCTGAACAAGGTCTTGAAGACGTACATCATTTTGCAAAACAGTTACAACAGTGTACCTGGTACGCCTTATGAATTGCAGTATACATGTAAAAAGAGTAAATCCTATTCTTTTGCAAACCTGGTTCATAGAGCCTCATGATATCATCCTTCAGATTAGTCCCCCCTGTTGTTACCATTACTTTGAGTCCTAAGTGTTTACTGAGCTCAATACAGATCTGACTGGTTTGGAGGGCTAATTCTCTGGTTGGCACAATAACTAAAGCTGTAATAGATATCAAAATGCATTCTGCATGAGAGTGTTTGGTTTTTACGATGTTAGGTATACAATGTAATAGAGGCCCCATGTTCCACCTGGAACCACAAGATGCCACGAAGATGCATAGTAATATCAATATTTGCTACAAAATTTTAGTTTAAGATAATTATTAACTTTAAATAGAATGACAAACACTACATCCCCTCCTCCTAAGGTGATTTACCTGGCAGCATTGCAGTATATTCATCCTTAGCATAGTAAACTGTAATTCAATAAGTTACACTAAAGTAATTAAATATAAAGACTTATCCCCCAGTTGGTCACACTTACACTGAACTTCATCTCGGCTTGGGTCTGCCTTCTCAAGAATTGGAATAGTGTAGGCTCCAGTTTTTCCAGTGCCATTTTTAGCACGAGCTAGAACATCCCTTCCTGTTAATGCAATAGGAATGCTGGCTTCCTGGATTGGGGAGGGTTTCTCCCACCCCTTTTCAAATATCCCCATCAGAAGTTCTCGCTTCAAACAAAAGTCCTCAAACTCATTTCCTTTGGTGTTTGTCACATCCTGAAAGGAAAGCATTTGAGTACTGATATGCAAGTTTAATAACACATACATACAACTAAACATATTTTTCTTAATAATTAAAGCAGATTTTTTTTTTATTAAATCTCAATTCAAGTACTCACAACAGACAGTAAAAGCAACAATATCCAAATGTAATAATTTTACGCTTTTTCCAAGTCTAGCTAACACATTATTCAACAAAGAAGGCAAACTTTCTGATACTTACAATGTATTTGGGTGAAAAATCGTTGATATCCAGTAACATGGGTAACAACAACTTAGACTTGTTTTCATCATTTTTTTTTTAACTAGAATAAGAAGTAGAGCAATAACCTTGATATTACCAAGTCTATTACCGTAATTTTGGGGGTATACGTCGATGGGGTGTATAGGTCGAAAGGCTCATTTTCAGCCGTAATTTTTAAAAAATCCTTAGATTGGACGAATGCGGAAGAAAGGACGAGGCTTTGTTTATCGATTTCTAGATGTAGATACTACGTAGAACCATATGTAGAGAAAATAAAATGGTATTTTTTGAGTAAAACATTTTAATAGTGTTTGATATATATATAAAAAAAAAAATAGTTTCTTTAGTTGAAACTTCCTTGAATTCTTCTATACAACGTATTTTCTCAAACTTGCCAGTTCAATGCCGTCGTAGTTTGACTCTGTCGTTAAACAGTATCCATAAATACGGTAGTATACGACAGCTATAAATTAGGGAAATACACAAGATGAAGCAATAACGATTTCCATTTTTAAACATCGTGGACATCCTTAACATATTTTATATAGGCATTATTTACAATATCCGATGACCGCCATTTTTATATTTCTTGTATTAGGGATTAGCTAAAGCACGCAAATGACTATTACATGTAATAGTGAGCAATTGAAATTAATCGTATTTCCAAGCTGTAATTTGGCCTGTGATATTTGTTGTAAAAATAAATTTAATTAGGAGTACATTTGCAATTAAACAGTCATCATGAGTTTCACAGCTTTGTATGTTCAATGATGTGTAGCACTAATACCCCTATTACGGCACGTGCTGTAAATCATGCCCCGCAGGCGGTTAAACCAACACAGGTGTCAACACCTTTTTGTACACATTGTATAACCCTTTATCTGTCAGACAATTAAAATTCAAACAGAAGCCAATCTTTGAATAAATCAGTGTACCTCTTGGGTATGAGGAAGATAAGTTCACTTTATTAGTTAATTAGTTACATGTGTGAAATATATTTATGATTAGTGGTATATTTGATAAATAAATTTAGGAATTACGGGCAACAATTTATTTCACGCATTTTACATTTAAAAAAATATCACAAGACAATGAAAAAATATTTATGTAGACAATTTCAATTCATCGATACGCATAAATGGTAAAAAAAAATTTAAAAAGAAAAAAAAGATGACAATTATTTATCAAATTGCAATTGAGAAAACTTCTCCGTATTCTAGATTTTGATACTGTCGCGGTTTTATTTTTAGTGAACGAATGCGACTTCCAACTTCACAAGATGGAGACAGATAGCATGTTGTAAAATATACTTTGATGAAACATTATTTACGCGATGATTAAATAATTTTTTGGGGTACATCGGTGGATATTTAAGGGAACTTAATTTGCAAGAAATCAACGGAATATATACTTTAATTCTTTATTGTGTATTATTTTTTCTCGGTAAAATAATTTAAAAAGTTACGAAAATTGTACAGGTTTGTTTTGAAATTGACGTAAATTTTACGGATTTTGGGTCATTTTTCGTAAACTTGAGCCTTAGAAAGGTCGATTCTTTAAATAGGACGACCCCAACGGTTCTGAGAAAAAAAGTATCGACCTATCTTCCAAAAAATACGGTAATCTTTCTGACAGACTTACACTGGTTTTAACTCTGTGGTCCTTAGGAGGCAGATTTAGTTTTGCTTTCCACCCAGCTAGATCTCTGAAAAAAGGACAGAGACTAGATAAATACAAATGTATTAATTAAGTGTAACTTGAAATGACCATATCGCTCAACAATAGTAATTAGAGAAGGGACAGAAGCTCTGTCACCTGTTGGCATCACAAAATCCTTCTAACTTATTGGGTTAAACTTACCAACCTTTCTAACATTCAGAATTCTCTACAAACTTCCTAGAACATGTATAGAATTTTGTTAAAAAAAAATTTAACTCTGGACAAACCCTGATCTTGAAGAATTCAAAAGGAGTTGCTCTGAAAATACACAGTTGCAAATAACCACTCACTCACAAATGCAAGTAATTTTGTGGGGGGGGGGGGGGGGGGGGGGGGCACAAACTCTTGAGAATTTTATAGCCACTGAGGCAAGTAAAAATGTAACTTTTCAGGAACAACCTTGTTTGACTCTACTTTTAAAAGCATATTTGTTTTCACTACTTTTCCTACTCTAAAACATTTTCTAAACCCTGAACCATATCAAGGTTACAACAATTTTTTTTTTTTATCTAATTAGAATAATCTACCCCTGTTGCCACAACACAGTAATAAGGGACAAATTTGTCATTAAATCAGGAATGCAAGATAATGTCAACCCTAATCTCTATACTGTTGGCAACATATTCAATCCATTGGTTCCCAATGCCCAAATACTATGTCTCCACTCAATGCCTCAATTATTGACGTTCTTTTAAGTTAACTTTAAAAGTAGGAATTTTGAATCAATCTCCATAAAAAGAGGCCCCTTACCCTGCCTTTCCATCTGTCGAATTGGCATGGTTGCCAGAATTTTGCTCAACTGTAGCCGAAGCCATGGTTACATCCACCAATATTTTCAGTAGGTGTTGTTGTACAAACTATGATTTTGTCGAAAACATGAAACTGTAAAATACCAGCATATGTACATTAGGTCATTGCAAAAATTATAAATATTAAAGCAATAAAGCATAGTTATAAATGGCTATGAATGTAGAGATAATTCGGGCTACAATCTGGATCGTTAATAACAAAGAATAGATAATTGCCACCGATATACTGCATAAACAAGATGTACTTCTAGTGTAAAATACAAGTAAACAATATGCCGCAATAACGTTAACCCAACCTTCTGGCTTAATAAAACACTCTGACAGTTTTCAAATTTGTAATGTTGATTTCTTAGACAAATATCCAGGATTCATGATCATTTAATACTTCAATATCAATTATTCTCATAAAATACATCCTCCACTCGATAGAGTACTTATAGTTTCTGCACTTATTGGACACTTTATTCTTATGAGACAACCACAAAAACAAGATGGTCAAAGATTCTAACAGTACCCTTCCTCTCAGAAAAATCTTCTCTGACGGCCGGAGTCGGTAGGATTTGCGCAAGACAGGAAGTCGTTTTGTTTATGTTTAATAAATAAACAAAGGCATGTTTTTCTTAAAACTGTGAATTTTTTAACTGTTGATTTTATTGATTGCAATTAAAAAATCAATTATTAAAAAATATATATATCAAGTTAACCCTCGACCTCTAGGGTTAAAGGTCACGAAAGTTTGATCAACAACGGACTGTGCATGTTCTGAATCCTGAAAATGAGCTTCAATACAAAGGTTCTGTTCTAGCAAATGTAAGTTAAACTGAAGCACGGTACTCGTTGCCACTTTGCTAAAATGAAGTGCATGTAAATTAACAAAAATTAGGCTAGGTCTTAAGATAAATAGAAAAATGTAGAAAAGAAAGGACATGTGAAGTTGTGTAACTGTTGGTCTCTACAGCATGTACATGCCAATGCGTAGGAATAGTATTAGACTTTAAAAATTTATATACTGCGGATCTACGATTAGAACCAGGGATATTTATATAGAATGTAGGGGCCTGGTAGAACAATTAAAAACACCCAAGTGCATTTAATGAGGTTACCATGCAGGCCAGGGAAAAAAGGAACTAAATTTTATTAAAGCATAATATTTAGCCGAAAGGGCTAGTGACTTTGAATGCTGACAAGCCCAGATAATAAGTTATCCAGCAGCCTTTGGCTACCGGCTGAGTTTACTCAATAAGGGGGGGGGGGATGGATGTGGGAGTAGGTTTAATTCCTTCACTCCTACAGTTAGGGGCTGTTACATGGGGCCTCTTCCTGAATTGCATGTCCATTATAGTTACAAACACTAAGCTGATGAAGAAATACATGAGATTTATTGATAGGTTCCCTGGGTTGGACCAAACTAACATCGTTCTATGATAAGTCTGATGTATCTGACAGCAAGGAATATTCAAATAGCATGTAAATCTCGCTAACATTTGGAATTTGCAATATATTTCTGTTTTTAATCATTGTAATTGTTTTAAGTGTGTGTGCTATATAAGATTTTCACAGCTGGGCAAGCTTGATGACTTGTTTAGTAGCCCGACCTCAATTTCCAGTTGTCCCCAGCTAGTGGTAATCAAACCCTGCATGGTTACTCAATAGATGGATCACAATCGGTCCATCGTCTCAAGCCATGGTCTGGAGTCCGCACACAGATCTCTCCTACCCGTGGCTGCTTGATCGCAAAAAGTGTCATAATCTTGAAATATTTACGCCTCTATATTATGACGTCATGTTCAGCCAATGACAATTTTTGTTTCCATCGCAATTGAAATCAACAATTGATATCAACAGTAAACAAGAAATGTTTCATATACTGCGATTGGGTATTGAAAGGTCGCGTCAAAGTTCATTATCCAACTATGCTTTACTTGCATTGGTCAATATTTTAACGAGCTATGAAATATTCTCTTCTCATTCAACCATGGCCATAATGGGAGAGGATCGTACATTTTGGCTGTGGTTTGGGATGATGCAATCGGTGTAAGATAGGCAATGAAATGTAGTTTTCTACCATACTAAAGGAATCCATTTCACAAACCTTATCCATCTTAACTGACTAACTAATGAAATTGCAGACCAATAGAAACTAGTTTTGCCAAAAATATCCTGCATGAACAAATCCCCCCCCCCCCACCCCCCCAAAAAAGAAAAGAAAACAAAAACAAACAAACGACAACAAACAAACAAACAAAAAAAATAATGAGTAGAACATGTAGAAGATAGATACGAAAATAACTTTTAGGAATCAGTTCATTTTAGAACTTTTAAATCCTCATGGTAAAATTCTTTTGCAAATTTTTTGATCATGTGGAAATTTGACGTATGCTTTTTGCACTTTTTAAAAGCTTAAAGTGTCTGATGACATAGGATTTATATCTATATTATTAATAAATAAGTGATGTTTTCTAAATTTTAACTTTTAAATACCCTTTTCAATGTTTATACATGTAGTTACTTTTATATATTCACATAAATTATTAGTCTTAATATTTTTGAATTCACGGCAGGTGACTAGATTGTGCATTCTCCCGTATTCATATCTAGAGGCCCAGTAAATGTTGGAGAGTTGGTGATGGCATCCTCCAAGAAACTTGTATTGACCAATGACAGTAAAAAGAATGAAGTTCTTCTAAAAGACCGTGTCAAGGAGGTAATATCAGGTCAAAGGTCAAGGTTCAAATGTCAAGGTCAAATGTCAGAAATTTGAAGTTTCATTCAATGTATGACAATATTACAAATAAATCAACTCTTTCACTGAAATTGCTAGAAATATTATATATATATTCATATATATATATATATTATATAATCAGTGTTTTGTTAGGGTTAATGTATGAGTAGTGCTCCATTCCTTAAAGGTGCTTAGACACAGATCTGAAGTTTATATTTACTCAAATTTTCTGTATAATTTCATGACTTATATGTTGCTATAGCATTTCATACGAAAATTGGATAAAATCTTATTTTGTCTGGAAGTTATTGAAACTTCGAATTTCTGGACACGTTTGATAGACACATTCTTGCACTTTCACAAATTTTAACTTTATCCTTATTACTTTCGAAAAGTAGCAATTTTGTTGTTTATTAATGAAAAATATTAAAACTATAATGCAGAAATTTCAGAGTAGAAATGTAGAAAGCAAAATCCTATATCACCAGTATTGTCAGTCCGTGCTCAGTGGTGTGTGCAGTGTTTAACAATTGAACACACCCGGTGAAACATAAACATTAACAACAACAAAGCTCGTGCCCTGTTTACAATAACAGTTTACGTTTCACAGGTGTATTCAATTTGTTAAACTCTGTACACAACTACACAACACTGAGCACGCGTTGACAATACTTAAGTGAGTGGGTTTTGCTTTCCCACATTTTTACTCTGAATTTTCTGGATTAATAGATGTAATATTATTCATTAATACACAACAAAATTGCTGCTTCTCTTAAGTATTAAGGATAAAGTTAAAAATTATGAAAGTGCAAGGATGTGTTAATCAAATGCCTCCCGAAATTCGTAGTTTCAATAACTTCCAGATTAAATAAGTTTTTAATTTTATTTTCGTGTGAAATGCTATAGCAACATATAAGTTGTGATTTTATACAGAAAATTTGAGAAAATATAAGCTTCAAATCTGTCTATGCACCTTTAAAAGTAATGAAGCCGATCGAGGTCCCGAAGGGGCCGAGACCCATTGCTTTTAAGGAATGGAGCACTACTCGTACATTAATGTACGAGTAGCGCTCCATTCCTTAAAAGTAATGAAGCCGAGGCCCTGAAGGAGCCGAGGCCCATTGCTTTTAAGGAATGGAGCGCTACTCGTACATTAACCTGCTTAAAATCCACTGTTTAAAATGCTTGTAATTATTGTTTGTTAATATATAATAAAAAATATATATTTGATATATTAGTAGTATATTTAATATATATAGAGAGAGTAAGGCGAGTAATGTGTAACAAAGTTATTTAAATCTGGCGTCTGCCAACAGCTTCAATAGCATAGTGAGATGAGTGTCAGTCTACCATGGTGAGGGTACTGGGATCGATTCTCAGTGGTACTAGTATGATTTTTTCTCAATATGAAAATAAACTATAGTTGATGAAATTTTATAAGTTCTTTGTTCGGTAGAGGAATGGGAAGGAGAATTTTAATATAGTAAATACCGCTTTCAGTGTAATTTGCAACTCTCCATTCCTGAAAAATAATGGAGCGCTCAAACAAAAGAGTGACGTCACAAGTGGATTTAATATGAAGTCATACTTCACTGTATCAGCTATATGTTATAGTGCTATGAATATTGATACATGTGTTCACTATCTGGGGTAATTTATGCTTAATACACTGATAATAACTTATCTTTGCATATACTTCCACAAACCTCTGTATATAGAAAGCTCCATACAAATATGTTGCTATGCAGTAATAATCATGTGACTATGTAATCTCTTTTTTCAGTTAGAAGAGGAAATAGTGGGTTTGAAGAAAAGGTTGGAGGATCTAAGGAAAGCTAAAAATACCACAGTCCTTAAACGTGAGAGGGAAATCCTGGAAGTGGGCACTCCGTTTGGAAAAAGGTATTTTATTTGAAATCAGGTACTGTAGCAATGATGATTTATGATTAAAAGTGAATAATATTAGATTTAAAATTATGTGACAATAACACAGCTATTTAATTCTTACTTGGAAAAAATTAGCATAAGGTAACAAAGGTTGACATTTATTTCTTTGCATCATAAGTGATACATGTTTGCAGAAAAAAAGCAACAATCCAGAATTACTGTGATTATTGAATATTATGCAATTATGTTTCTATTGTCTTCAACATGTTCAATCTACTTTGTATGTATTTTGCTATGTACATGTGTGACACTTTTATATGGTATGTAATTTTATCCAGGGATTATGACACCTGGTAGTCTTCTTTCTTCACATTACTATACAGTACGACACTATAGGTAAATAATGTAGTCTAAGATAAGATACCAGTAATTTTGTGACTTGTTTATAAACAGGGACAGTAAACCTACAATTACCGCCCCTCCCCCTCCACCAGTGGCCGCCAGCAAAGTTCCCGCAGAATTTCAGAAGAAGTTAGATGATCTGAAGGCTCAGCTTGCAGCCGCGGAAAAAAATCATGACACCCAGATAAAAGAAGCGGAGGCCAAACTCTCAAATGTACAGGGAACCAGTTCTAAGGAAATGGACGATTTACGCAAACAATTTGCTAAAGATATGGAGGCTGTCAAAAAAGCAATGGAACAGGTTTTGTACAGCTTTATTGTGAGAATTTAACAAAGTTACACACAGGGGAAATTTCTAAAGAAAAGAGCAAGGTTCACAATGGGGCTGCAAAATTTTGAGACTTTAAGAATACTTTATGATTAATGTGAAGGTGCTGCTTATTATTACTGCTCATCTGGTCAATGAAATAATTTTAAATCTCACCTTTAACTCTGTTGGTCAGGAGATATAAATTTTGATTGAGTAATTAAAGGAGTTGGAGTGTTGTCAACAACCAATCATTGAGGCTTTACAGCATCAGTTCTTGAAGTCCAGACATTCAACACTGAATTGTAATAAATATCTTGATTGGATAATTTCAGGAATTGGAGTGTGGTCATCAACCAATCATTGAAGCCTTACAACATCAGCTACTGGAACTCCAGGCAGACAACACAGCTTTGTTGATGGAGAATAGTGATCTCAAAGATAGAGTTAACTCCCTTGTTACGGAGCTCAGCATCAAAGAGGCCTCGTGGTGTGAGGCGGAGGAAAAACTCAAAATCGAGGTGAAAAGATGTTACAGTTTATATGCATAAATATACTCACTGAATATAAATTGAAAGTTTTAAAAACTTACATTGTGAAATTTAAGCAAAAAATATGAATATCATATATTCTTTATCAGATTTTACACATCAATCATATTAATAGTAAAAAATATGGTTGAATTTAAAACAAAAAAATAGGAGAAAACAAAATTTGATAAGAGTAAGCTTTATATTTTTATTGATTTATATTTCATGTGCCAAAAAAAAAAAACATGAAGTGCAGGTGAGGCCATAGGCATGAAGCGGCGGTGCCTCTCGTTCTTTGATTAGCTTAGGTTTAAGTCGTAGTTTTAGTATTAAGGTTCATCTCAGAATTTGAGTACACTTGGTTTCATGTTGGGTTCTATGGCCAACAGCACTCCAGGAAATAAAACTTATAGAATGCTATTTATAGAGAAGGTTCACACATATAAAAGAAACATGCTTTTGAAATTTATAATAAAATTTCTAGATATTTGGTAAAAACTAGAGAAGTCTTCTAGTAACATTTTCTTTTCATTTAAAATCATAGAATTTTTGAGCTGTTAATTTATCTTGTTTAAGATAGGTTATTCAAGTTTTTCAGTTTTTTAATCTTTTGTTTTTTAATAATAGTTTCACAGACAAATATCTGTGAAAGGGAAATAATCACTAATTAGAGCATTTGATAGTGAAAGTAGGAAATGTGAAATCATTGACAAAGCAATCATAACACTCTTGTAATAGTCATTGACAGCTGATAAAATGTGGTCATTGCTTTTGAATCCTGTAATAATGCTTCTCTCTTGTTTGATCATGATTATTTAATGCAATGGACAATTTGACAGTTAAACAAACAGTGGGGCGAAAAGTACAAAGAGTGGATGGAGAAGACAGAGAACAAAATCCGCGAACTTCAGGAGGCCAACACCATGTTGTGAGTGTCAGGGGAGGCTACTCATACACAGTACAAAGGGAGACAATCACAATAGGACAAAAACTTTTATAACTGAGAAATAATTAAACAAAGAGTTTATTTGGTTGTCTCATTTATAAAAGTATCTGGTATGCTGTGGTTGTCAATGTGGAATGAAATAATAGCTGAAGACATAATTTGGTTGAATTGTATGCACTGGAATGTGGAGAGAAATTAATAATTTAAAATGCTGATTGCTAGTTCTATGAAAAGTGGTCTACTATATCATTAAATTTGAAGATTATTCAAAATATCTTTTGGAAAAAAAATCAAATGATAATTGACAAAAATATTTGGAAAAGCAGTTTAACAGGAAGCACACTAATGATTTTGTGAGATTTATTCGTATGGAAAGTAAGGTTTCTAGTTCAACCAAATTATGGTCTTCCTGTCAGAGAATACCATCTATATAGGTGTAATTATCTTTATAAAATGAAATTTTCAGCTCACCCAAGCACAACAAAAAATACAAGAGTTGACAGATGGAAACATTATTTTGTGAGTAAAGGAGTGAAAAAGTAATTGTCCACCAACTCTAACCTTTATAGTTACCATGGCAACAGGCACTTTTCCTTTTATGTGTGAAGAAGTTGCTATAATTTCGTGGGGGGAAAAAATTACTAAATATAGATGGTATTCTGAAAATGAATATAGCTTAAAAATGAAACAATAATTTTTTTAAAAAATAAATTTCAGTTTATCATCAAAATCAGCTCTTTATTAAAGCATACGTATTCTTAAATATTTTTACTTTCATAAAAAGTTTAGATGTATATGAAGTTTTACTTGAATAGAAATATGAAGTAATATTTCTCCCCTAATTTGGCAGCTGTATCTATGTCTGTACAAATCACTTTTGTGTTACCTGTGTTTACACATGTGTGAATTACTTACCTGTATTTCAGGAGGACTTACTTCAACAGCCAGAAACCAAAAGGACCAGACCCCACAGGCCAGGACAAGTGAGGGACTGGGTCAGGGGTCATTGCCATGTCGACCTCCTAGTCAGCTAATCATGATTTAGTTTTAATTAACAATATTACTCTGCAGTTAGTGGTGCTAGATGGTCTATAGGATCCAATCTTCATGTATTGTGTACTTAACATTGTGATGGAGAAACTGTTCACCTAAATCTTTAAATTACAATGTATCATCTATTACATTATGCTTTTAAAGGTTTTCTGCTTGACAGAAAAATGCAGCAAACATATCTGAAGATTTTTGAGAAAGAAAGTTAACACCAGGGTATTCTGTGTATCTCAACACTCTTCATTACAGCCCTTACAGAGAAAATATATAGATATTAAGTATCTTTTTAGTTCTGAGCTGTCAGAATAGATAAGTTGTGGTAATCTCTGAAGATCTTATTGTTTATGGTTCATCTTCATCTTAGACACACAGATTTGTAATTGTGATAATATCAGATTTCATCCATATTTTCATTTTTTAAATATACATGTATAATGTTTATACAGTATTATAATTCAGTACTGAATTTGTTAGATGTTCTATTGTTCATGCAGCTGAATGATTCTCACTATACATGTATTATTGCTATAATGTACAACTTGTATATGGAGCTATTTATGTGATTATATACAACCTTATTTGGCCCTGCAAAATTTTTGGGGAAAAAATCAAAACTTTTTAAGTTTTACAGAATAACATCAAAACTATCAACCATGACCACTAAACTCAAATGGAAGTGACTTTGATAGCTTAATAAATGTTACGTACACCATTTTACACATATACTTCAACTAGAATTATCTGCTCTTTGTTAGCGTACATGAATTATTTGTCTTCAAGCTGAACAAGATTCGTAAAAGAAATTTGTCCTCCATATTTCCCTTAACTTGCCATTATATGTGGAGTCCCTTATATAATCCGTTCACTTGGTCAGGGTTCAGTGTAATACCCTCTTAAGTCTACACATGTAAGGAGGGTTCTACATGTACATAGCCATTGTAAAATACTCGGTAGCAACAAAAGTAGTTGCATGCTTCTTCCATGACAGGAGAAAAATTTACATATGAAATTTGACATCAGTTGCTCCAGTCAGTGCAGAAAAACAAACGCAAACACACATAAACTGAAATAAAATGTAAACAAAGGTAATACAAGATAACCAACTCGGTTACATGCCATCCAATCCATGCAGGTAGCAATCGGGTGTAACTAATGTGAAGGGTATATCCTAATTCTGATATTGGTGATAGGAAAACTAATATGGCGTATGCCTATTTACAAGTCTTGTTCAGCTTTAATATGTAATGAATATCTTCTTTAAGCACAACTAGGGATGCGTGATTTTATCGGTATACCGGTATATCGCGATTTTTTATTGCGTGATACGTATCATGATACGGAGACTGAAATATCGGTATTTGGTACATAACTATAATTTCCGGAAATTATTCATTTATTTGTTCAAATTATTAAATGACAATTACAGGAAGTGTAAAAAATGTTGAAAACAATTAAACAATGCGACCAAACAAGCTTTATATTAAATAAATAAAAATTTAAAAAGTAAAATTATGTTTTTATAGCATATTTTTAAGAAATATTATGGAAATTCATTTGAAATTGAAGTAAAAATTGTGTATAAAAATATCACGATTTATCGTGATATTTTTGGGAAAAAATCGTGATATATCACAATATGAAATTTTTGCCAATACCCATCCCTAAGCACAGCTACCTTGTCCCTTGAAAAATACCACATTCCAGAAGTGTGTAGCACATTTTATTTGTATTGTAATATCATGTATCTAATGTTTTCCACTGTAACCAAAGGAAGATTTTAAATCTGATCTGTGATAATTGTGTGACTGTGATCTGACATGACTTACATTTCAATATTAATGTTATAGAGTTGAATGTTATAGTATATTTTATCGTCTATTATAATTAGACATCCACTAAATAATAATTGTTTTAAATATTTACAAATGCTTTTAATATAGTTATTTTTTTAAGAGAGTGCCTCATTAAATCTGTGATAATTACTGTTAACTGTTGTAGAAGGGGATACCTGGAGGCTTCAGCCCAACAGTTGGAAGCACAGGAGGAGTCCACCTGACCATTAATGTAGTGTCTGTAGATCATAGCTTGATTGTTTGTAAAACAATAGAAGAAAGGAAGGGTTTCTGTGTGTCTAAGGCACAGATGTTTGTGATAATTTTATTTATGTGACTTGATAACAATTTTTTTTAAAACACTGCTTTACATTTTGTATTTTATATCTTTGCACTATGAGCCATTTTTGGTAGTTATTTTTTTTTAAAATAGAGGTAAAAATAAACAATAGAATTTTGTTTCGTTTTATTATGTGAAGCAAAGTAACAATCTTTGACTATATTATAGCATGTTTAAACTGAAAACTTAAGATTTTCTGACAGTTTGTCCATGACATCTTTTTTGAATTTAAATCTGCTGTCAAGTATCAACCAAACTTTGTTTTATATGGGAAGATATCCACAAAAATACTGATTCATTTGATAGTGGTATTTTCCATGGTAATTAAGAAATAAAGATATGTTGGCAGGCAACTAAAAAATTGTTATATCATGTTAATTTTATTACTTAAACTTACTGAAAACTTAGATGTTCTTAATGTAATAGATGAAGGTAATGAACAGTGACCCCATATTTCATTAAAACAATACAAATTGTAAACGAGACAGAAAACACGGGCCTTTAAACTCTGTATATAGGTGTGATACTTATTTTTTATACATGGTATTTCTAAATATTTATTGTTCTACATTTAACAATCCCCTATGATTTCAAAGTATTTCTGTTAAAGTCAGCTGTAAAAAAATGATAATTTTACTTTCCCTATATTTTCCTTTATGAAAGAATGTGAAAATATCAATATTTGGAACATATATGGTTCTAATGTAATAGACAATTTCCTATCTTGGCTTATTTAAATAGATGATTTTTTTAGAATCTTGACCAGTCCTAACGACAAAAGTTTATTGAGCTCAAAGCAGTTGAAGACAAAGTTAAGGTGTTCCATCCCTAATAGCTTCTGAGATTCAATGAATTTGAATACATAACAGATGTGTGCAGGTGGAATACTCAGTATATTTAGACATAATTCCCATTTATTACTATTAGCATGTAAGAATGGAACGTGTTCTAATTTATGACCTTGACCTTTGTTGAAGAGTTATCTCCCTCTTTTTTTTAAGTAATAAAAATCAATTTTAAAAAAATCCATATGGTAAAAAATTGTTTTCAATTGTCATTCTATTTCTAATGATTTAACGCATCTTTCCACCACAGTATTTATTGAATATTCTTATTATTTGAATTTTTATTTTAAAAAAATCGTTTGTCTCCATAGACTTCAATGCAATTTCTGTTAATTAATTACTGCTTAGTTAATTACATTTTTGAAACTTTCTCTTGGTAAATCCTTTTCTACTGTAAAATGCTTTGAATTAATATCAGAGTATTATATATGTGATGGATATATAAGGATAGAGAATTAGGTCCTATTAGGGATTGAAAACCTTAACTCTGAAGCGTTATGGAGAAAGTTTACCAGCGCATGACAAATAACAATTCTTACAATAGAGTGCCCAATGGTATTCTTCTTTATGGTTCTCAAAATCTTTCAGATACATAAACTGGAAAGAATTTTCTATCCGTTCAAAACTTCTTTTATTGAATTATTTCAAATCAAAGGCTACGGCCCATGTGTAGTAGTGGTAAGTAATGTCTTTGAGTAAAAGGAAATACGTCATGCTAGAAAAAGTTGACCAGTAACAAGGTCAGAAGTCAAGACCAAGGACAGTAATGATGTCGGCATTCGAAGGACTCAACCTGATTAAGTTTTAGGTGAAGATAAAAGATAATTATCTAACCCCATTCCGCCCTCAACGTATGTTCATTACAGCTGAACAAGATTTTTGTCGATACAGACCTATGAAATATGAAGAATTCATAGAATCCCTGCTGTGCAATTCAGTCCCCCCCCCCACCCCCCCAAAAAATATTGAAGTGCATGTGACGCCATAGGCATGAAGGTTCGTTGACTTTGTTCACAATAGGTTTTTGAGGGTTTCTACGTTTGTAAAGGTTTGTTCGTTGATCTATGTTTTCATTCGGTTTCATGTTGGGTTCTATGGCAACAGCACTCCATAAAAATATTTGTTCAAAACCTTATTTATAGGAGGAAGCAAAGAGTAAGAAAGGGACATATATTAAAAATTTTTAATATTAGTGATGGAAGGGCATCTATTATGCATTATTATGCTTCCTGTCAGTTTGTCTTTACATAGTCAATACCCAACTATTTTCGCATAGTGGTCTAAGGATTTATATAGCGTATATAGCGTATGTAGCACGGCTTCTTTTTCTGAAGAAAATCCGACAGCGCCCACGCAGGGGATCGAACTCACGACCCCAGGATTATCAGTCCGACGCGCTACCGATTACGCTAGAGACACCGTTATCTATAACACTGTATTATAATATATATAAACTTAGTTTCAAAGATTTTACACTAAAAGAAAAAAAAAAAATAAACAAAATAATTTTTATAAAATAGTATCTTGCAATTTTTTACCCTTCACACAACTAAATTTCTCAACTATTTGTACATGGAACATTCAAAATTTTAAAGACAAAAGATTATGACGTACATGTAGCACAAGGTGACGTCATAATAGGGGTGTACTAACATGAATGTAAGAGGTGAATGAAACATTGGAAAGGAAGAAAATATTGTCGTTTTTATACAACAGTCAGCATAATAATAACAATAGTGTTGTACTTTGCATGCACTATGCCTAAATAGTAGTCAGGGTTTGACACATAGTGCACTCGCCTCCGGCTCGTGCACCATGTGTCAAACCCTGACTACTATTTAGGCATAGTGCACGCAAAGTACAACACTATTATATAACTATTTCAAAAATGTGTCTTTTAATGATAAATGAGAAATTATCTAATATTTTAAATAATATTGAGTACTGATGTTTGTGAACCCGCTTGTCAGTATTTTATAAATGCCTTGTGATGATAGAAACATTAAAAATTCAGTGAAGGGAAATAACAAAAATATGTAATAATGAAAGTAGGACATTTGAAACACATGACTTCTCTTTACGACTATGTTATATTGCACTATCAACTGAACAATAGTGAGAGAAATATAAAGGCCAGTGAGGTATAGAAAAATGAACCAGCCTTTGGTTTTCTCATTGAAAATCATTCCAGCTCACACAAGCAAGTATAAGAGAAAGTATTAATCATTCCAGCTATTTTATACTAAGGGCTTGGTCCTTTGTGTGTCTCAATCCTTGATACAATGTATTGGAAGATAATTAAGGAAAACGGGCGATATTTGTAGCATTAAATTTGCACAGAAGAAATATATAACTTTACTTAATTTAAATCAATGTAGCTGA